AGAGGCCCTAATTTCCTAAGAGATCTCGCTAACCATCTCCATCCTGTAAGGTCTCATCCCAACACTATATGAATGTGGAAATGTCTCCTATCTCACTCAGGCAAGTTTCTCGGTGTGTCTTTGACTACTTCCATCCCATTGCTTCTCATGTGGCTTGTTATGTGGAGAAAGTGTGTGCGAGATGGAAGCACCCACTCAGAGACCTTTACTGAGTATGGACGTAAAATCCGTGTAAGAAGTTTGCACAGCGATCCATCGCTCCTAGTCTAGAGTTCCTATACCCTACCGAGCTCTCGACGTTGCGCTGCACATCGGGAGAATAATAGAGTGGTATAAGTCATACGTGCAGCGCGTAACTGTGGTACGGTCGTTGTTGAGGCTTCAAGAAATAGTCTGGCCTCTAACATTTTTTATACACAATATTTGCTCTGTGACAATTTCTACAAAAAGAGAGCTCTTAGTATTAGCACCGACGGTACTAGGACATGGGAGGAAACTCACGGTAGCGCAATTAGAGCCCATTGCCGCCGTATTATAAGTAATCTTTAGTTGCTCCGGTCATAGTTTCCTCCATCTCAGCTCGTATTTGCCTGTTTATTCTCACCAGCATCACCCATTTGAGCACTCCGTGACTAGCCACCATTGAAACTACCTACGCAGTCCACATCCTTCCTCAGCACAAACTCACTTTATTGTTACGACTAGTATAGATAAAATTGCATATAACTTAAGCGCTCACGTCAGTTTGGGGGGCATACCTAGCTTCTTATGGAGGCGTATTTGTGAGCTCGCGGGGTGATATAGGATATTTGCTCATATAAGCCGCCAACTCTCTGGTGTTCTTTCACAGAGCTCTTCGACAAACAAGACCTTTCCTGGATTGGAGATTGGCTCTACAGAGACTGAATGCGCGTCGTTGGCTCTCATACTGTTCAGCAAGCTTAAGACTACGTAGCAAGGTATATAAATCTACTCCCTCATAACCATGATGTGATACCTGATACGATTCCTCACTTTCCCTGTGGGCGACTCTGGTGTTCAGACCAGGCCCCGTCCTCACTCTCTGATCGCCCGCCCACCTGCAAGGTTGGACTCACCACTCTCCCGACCGTCCCCTATGCACCTACCACGAGAAGATCGCCTCCAGATAAGAGTAATGCGTGCCAAAATGTATAGGCACCAGTCGTCGCTCATCCCCAGAGAGAATTGTACCCTACTCGAAAGACCGGGCCTTTGTGTCCTAGCTCGTGCCGGGTGCCTTCGATGCATGATTATGGCGACTTGCTGGTGAGCAGCTCAAACGTAGCACGCCACTCAGCGCGTTAAGGCTAGCCAGTACGGCCAGGAGCTCAGCGCAGCTCCATTGCTGATCGGGCAGTGCAGTCGCGCGATACAGCAGATCAGGGAAGAGAGGTGGAAGGCCACGCACGTGGGGTGAAGGGGCAGACTGGACATAGCTGTGCCCTCAGAGCGGACCGCACACGACTCTTATCGCTAGAGTAGAGGCTGATATGAGAGGCCAAGGGGCGTGCGGGCTCCCTGGCAGGCAATGACGTGAGGGTGCCGTAGAGCGATCCTATGTCGCTGCCTTACGTGCCAGACGCTCGAACACCTTTGTTAAGCGAGTACCCTGGCGCGCCGCGGTGACTGGAGACGGCGCCCGCTCGCTCGCACCTCACGTGCCTGGCGTAATATGCCGGTGGCATTCGTGGAACGCTCACGAGGCTCCAGGTACGAGGAGAGCAGGCGCCGGTGCGCACAGCCTCGGCAAGTGTAGACCTGCGCCTCACGCCTCCTGGTCACGCCGGTCGATGAGGCCTCAGTGGCTCTTACAGTCGGTTAGCCTCTGCGCTCTAGTGCCACGGTCCCTGCCGGCAGAAACGGACTTGTTGTGACTCTTGGTCCGCTAGTAAGTAAGCTGCAGTGAGAGACACCACACGCACAGTGTGGTTTCACCCACTACTGTCTTATTATTCTACACTTGGCGTCACTCGCTGCTGGAGAGAGTACGTCTGTGCTCTATATGTATGACTGCTAAGTGGTTGACCGATAGGCTGTGTGAGGCACTACAAACTGGCCAAGCAAACGCGGTACACAACTCGAATTACTGCCAAAGGCTCCCTCAGCATATCTGTAAGATCTCGCGTGCCTTTTACACTATTTCCTCTTTTGTCAGAATCAGGCGACTATCTCTAGCTCAATATATTCTGTACTGTATTCTTCTCTAGCCGCACACGCATCGCGCCTCGCCCCCTACCGACGGTGTGCCATTGTTCATACTAGCCTCGCCTCCTATCCTGTCACGATTGCGCCAGATAGCCCCGTACTCCTCGGGAATGATGGGAGTCTTGTAGTCGTCACATATAACCATCATCTAGGAGGTTAGTAAACATTGCGTAGCGCCACGAGCATGCTTCCATCGCCTGTGGTCGGTAATCGGGCCGATAAGAGACCTTCGCCTGTATCTTGCCGGGAGTCGCAGACGGGGAAGGTCAACCACGGCGGATCACTCGAGACACACTGGTTGCCTGGCTGTTTCGAGGACGCACAAGTACCTTCTGACTTAGACGCGCGCTAGAATATCCTGTTACCAGCATATGGTGTTGCTTCTAAACGCCTCTGTTATCTCTCTGGTTCCACGCCCATACCTAATTTAGTCGATCCGATCTGCAGTCTTAGATTATTCTGACTTACCTTCTGTTACCCCTTCTTATGGGGGAAAAAAAATCCCGAGAAATGAGGAGGTGCTGAACAAGCCTGTCCTCTTACAGCTGGGCTGTCGCGCTCGCTCAGCTCGTCCTGCGGTCACTCGCGATCCTGTATGTATCCGCAGTAATCGTTCACATATCGCTTGGTGTATTTAATGTGTTGTGACTCAACTGTAGCTCGGTAATGTAATAATAATTATTTATAATTAATTAATGTGTGACATGAATATTGTTAGCTATGGATAATAGCCATATATTCCTCCAAGTTGAACATATATTAGAGACGCGGGTGTGTTGAGTTTGGTTGGAACGATCAAGATGAGAGTAATGGCTTCCTAAACGGACTGTCTAGTGCCATCTTGTGGCACATCTTGAAATATATTGCACATAGCATTTCAGTGTTAGATGGAGTATTCTCCACTGCGGCTATATTGATGCATAGCGGAGATATCATGTCAAGAAGCTGTGTATTTGATACTGCGTGCTTATACAAAAATATTATAATGTTTAAGTCCAATGAAAATACATATTATTGTCGAGATATTGAAACATCTTGTGATGGTGTATGCAACATCTAGAGTAATTTCTTACTTTTAAGTGACACAATATAACATGAGCTCGCTCTTTCAGAAGAGAGGAACTCAAAATACCCGTTTCTCCCATATCGCTCTCACTATTCGCTCTCTCAAGACATACAAAAACATTGACTCTAGCGCTCAGTATAATCAATACGGTATGGTTTTACTGCTGCTTTCTGAATTGAGTGAGATTATTATAGAATTATGAAAAATAGACAGTCCTCGGACCGCCACCGGAAACCATACCCAGAGGCAAGTAGACTCAGATTGGTGTGGTACTAAGAAAAGCTTTATGTGTCAATGGGCGACTCACGGTCAGATATCCCCACGGTGAAGAGATCATGAGGACAAAAAATAATACTGTCTTATCTAGATACGCTCTTATACGTCATTCACACCTAGGTGAACTTCTGTATCGAATGGTCAGTTTACGCAACTGGTGAGAGGGGGGGGTCCTCCTACATTCAGAGCGTCATCAAATGTCGGTGCTGTAACAAGAAACAAGGTGGCAAGGGTAGTACCTCAAGGATAACTTATTGAGTGTTGCTTAGAGCTCGCACTAGGCACGACTGATAAAGTAAGCGCCATGAGTGAATGCTCCATTCTCCTCAATGTATTATCGGAACGCACAGATTGCATGGAGGCCACGATCGTAAGTCTCAGCATTATATGATGGACCTCTAAGGGGCAGAATTCAATTGTAGAGAGTAGGTGGGCTCGTGTGTCCGCAATAGGACTTACGTAGGCGATATGTTGCTAACCATTTCGCTCTGATGCTACGCCGATGACTCATTGCATTGGCCCTAGCTATCTTAAAGGACTATGAGACTTACTTCTCAAGTGGTGAAAGAGCGCTGAGGCATAGAGAGAGAAGAAGTGGTTACTCTGGGGCATACAAGACCATGTGCGTGGAACGCGGGTCTTGTGACACCACGCACTCCACTCAAAACTACCGGCGACGTGCACAATTGAGCACAACAGTGCCATAGTGGGTTGCTGACCTTAGATGAAGCCATCAAAGGCTCAGCTCCTCTCTCGGTCGTCCTGTTATACAGCTGAACTAGGAGTATTTCCATCCCCATCGTTCTAACCTGGACACTGAGGTTCAGGGCCGAGGCCTTCTGGCGGTTCCCCTCACTGCGAAGCTGAGTTACAGGGAACCAGGCAGAGGGCCTTCTCGGTAGTGGCGCCCACCCTGTGGAACGCCCTCCCACCAGATGTCAAAGAGAAAAACAACTACCAGACTTTTAAGAAGAAATCTGAAGGCAGCCCTGCTTAGGAAGCTTTTAATGTTTGATGCATTATGGTATTTTAATATTTTGTTGAAAGCTGCCCAGAGTGGCTGGGGAAGCCCAGCCAGATGGGCGGGGTATAAATAAATTATTATTATTATTATTATTATTAGTCTAATCTCCCCACAAACAAATCAGGGTAAATACACATTAAATCGCCAGTGTTGTCTAATCTTTCTGCAAACAGGTTAGGCTGAACACTCTTTAAGCAAGTAACCTAGAAGTAATCCCTTCTACATCCCACCGAACCTGCAATGTTGCCTCTGCATTCTACATCAAGTATCTGCTATCAAGATACAGAGTCCTGTAAAACAAGGTTCCAAGAAGTCCAAGAGAGTTTAAAAGGAACAGAAACTGCCTACATAAGTTAGTTGGAAAGGAGGAGTCACCAGATTGCAAAAGCATTAAGGCTGGGTTTCACTCTGCCAGGTACTTCCTTCTACACACCACACCCATTTTATCAGTGACTCTTAATTGAATACTGAAGCAAACGGCAGCATGTTAAAAGGAGAAAGCAACACCCTCCTGAAATGTGGTGGTTACACGCTGCTTTTCAAAGATCACCAGTGTTGGGATTATGTGTCTTCACCTGTTTCGTGGCTTGGTGTGTGAGAGCAGGTAAGATAACCAATTACAAGTTCCTCATGTATTTTTGCTATAAGGAAACGAAGCATACAGTTCAGACTTTCAGACGGTATTGTGTGAGTCATGATTCTCAGTGCCTGTCAGATTAACTTGACTCCTTCTCAAAACAGTACAAAGATTATTCCTTCAATGTAAAACAAATAAAGGTGCCTGTGACCTCTGGACAAAAAATGCAGCTAGATTGACCTTGTGTGGCGAAAGAGAGCAGGGGAAAAATAATAATCCCTTGCTGCTGAGATGTAATAGTGTAGCTCTACCGCTGAATATAGTGTATAGTATAGAGGACTGGCTCAGTGATAGAGTATGTGTGTTGCATGCAAATGCTTCCAGAATCAATCCCTGGCACCTAAAGTTAAAAGGCTAGAAAGCTGCGGTCAGAAAAGACACCACTGGTTGGATGGACCAGTGGTCTGACTCAGAAATAAAGCAGATGCATACAATTTAAACATCTCAGACCTTGATTCTTCAGAGCATGCTTATTCAAAAATAAGTTCCATGGGACTTTCAACAAACTATTCTCTCATATGAACCTGCCCAGGCCCTGAGATCTTCAGGGGAAGCCCTTCTCTCGGTCCTGCCACTCTCACAGGCATGCTTGATGGGGACTGGAGAGGGCCTTCTCAGTGGTTGCTCCCTGATTTGGAACTCCCTTTCCAGAGAAGTTAGACTGGCTGTCTCCTTGTTGTCCTTCCACTGGCAGGTGAAGACCTTTTTATTCAAACAGGCCCTTAGGAACTGACTGTTTTGAAGGAAAGAATTAGTGCTGTGATGTTTTTATCATTGTTGCTTTTGAATTTTTAATACATTTTAAATTATTGTTTTATTTTGATTAGCATTTAATTGCTTTTTAATGATTATCTTAATATATTTTTAGCTTTTTCTAACTGTGTTTTTTTATCTGCCTTGAGTCTGGGAAAAAGGCTGGAAACAAACAAACCTAGAACAGGAGCCTAAGCATGTCATTTAAAAAAAGTTATTTACTTCTCACATTCAGACAGATCATAAATTATATCTGTAACAAAGATATGGGTGTCTCAGACACACAAAATGACAGAAGATCAATGTGAGGTTTTGCATTGATGTTGACTGACACTGTGGAACAGTTTATGTTTGCTGTGTTACATTTAACATATTCAAGTTGTATGTGTCCAATGCATTTCTGTATTGTAGTGGTTACATTGTAGGTATTTTCAGCCTGCAGGCATTATCTTTGACACAACAGGAACATTTTATGACAGAAAGGTATTAAAAGCAACCATTCTAACCGTAAAAATGCACATATTATATTAAAAGGACTAACACAGGTTAGGGACGGTGGAACTTTCATTCTTTGTGATAGAGCTTGTTTGAATGACAGTAATTTGAATGCATTTTTAGGTACAAAAGATGAAGAAGATGTAAGCTTGTCATAATGGTAAAACTCATTGAAACATTTGCAAAATATGGCCTGTTTAATCAGATGCTGTGTTGTATTAAACAGAGCAGACTTGGACCAGCCAACCCAGGTTCAAATCCTTTCTCATGTGAGCTATGATGTTTGCTGGGTGACCTTGGGTAAATTCCTGATTCTGATGCAGCAATAAACCACTAGCACATTTGCAAAGCTAAGCAGGGTCCAGTATGGTTTCAAATTGGATGGGAGACCACATGCTGAGATGCCTGTATTGCAGGGGGGTTGGACTAAATGTCCCTCAAGGCCTCTTCCAATTCTACAATTTTATGAGGCCAAGCTCCTTTACAGGTTTGTTGGGAAGCTAAAACAGGAGAGTAATGAAGTAAACTTCCTTGTAGACTTTGTAGGTCGGTGAGGTAAATTGTGTTTTTAAAAAGAATTGTCTTAACTGATCAAGTGTTTTATTTCTCACTTATTTTATCTTTCAGATACAGAACAAGAATGCCCTAAATTTACTGATCTTAACATAGGCAATGCCGTGATTGGTACAGATGTAAAAGTGCAACTGCTTTTGCACACAAGGAGAAACCAAAACTGTGCAGAGATTCTCAGTGAAAACAATCTAACGGCTTCTACACATCTAAATCTGACCAAGCAAACTATTATTATTATTCATGGTTACAGACTTACAGGTTCCCCACCAGTATGGATTGATGAAATTAAAGAGCTTCTGCTTAAAAAGGAAGACAGCAATGTTATAACGGTAGATTGGAATCGGGGTGCCACGACTGTGTATTATCCTAGTGCTGTTAAAAATGCCAAGACAGTAGTAGGAATTTTGAACAATCTTATTGACCAAATGCTGGTAAGGAAGCCATGACACAACAGCCTTCTTACCTCTGTCTAATCCAGTATACTGTCTTATAAGGGTGACAGGACCTTGGTTAGTTCTTGGTAAATGTACCTCGTATAAGGGTGTAATGAGATGTATGACCTTTCACTGTTTGCTTTGCTGTTCACATTATGCTTTTGTGTATATGGAAAATATTTTTGTGCAGAAAAATGTGTGAACTCACATGCAGACTAACACTGCAATAATTGCACGGTTGTAAATGTGCCACAGACCCATGGCGAATCATACCCATGGCTCTGGATCCATTCCAGTCCGGCTTCCGCGCTGGTCATGGGACCGAGACGGCTCTGGTCGCCCTAACAGATGATCTTCGTAGACAGCTGGATCGAGGCGGGTCGGGGCTGCTGATTCTTCTAGATCTGTCAGCAGCTTTCGACATGGTTGATCACGAACTTCTGGACCACCGCCTCGCCGACGTGGGGATCCAGGGCACAGTCCTTCAATGGCTGCGCTCGTTTCTCTCTGGTCGGGGACAGAGGGTGGCGCTTGGGGGGAACTGTCATCCCGCCACTCCTTGGTGTGTGGAGTGCCTCAGGGTGCGATTCTCTCCCCGATGCTTTTTAACATCTTTATGCGCCCCCTCGCCCAGCTTGTCCGGAGTTTTGGGCTGGGCTGCCATCAGTATGCTGATGACACCCAACTCTATCTGTTGATGGATGGCCATCCTGACTCGGCCCCAGACACACTGATCAGATGCTTGGAGGCTGTGGCTGGATGGTTACGTGGGAGCCGGTTGAAGTTAAATCCTTCGAAGACAGAGGTCCTCTGGCTGGGACGGGACGATATGGGATTGAGGGGGCAACTCCCATCTCTTGCGGGGGTGCAATTAGTGCCAGCACCGTCCGTTAAGAGTTTGGGTGTAATCTTCGATACCTCCCTCTCCATGGAGGCGCAGATTGCAGCTATAACAAAGGCGGCATTTTTCATCTCCGCCAAGCTAAGCAGTTGGCTCCTTACCTCTCTCGCCCTGACCTAGCCACTGTGATCCACGCGACGGTCACCTCCAGACTGGATTATTGTAACTCGCTCTACGTGGGGCTGCCCTTGAGACTGACCCAGAAACTCCAGCGGGTGCAGAATGCCGCAGCGAGACTCCTTACGGGGTCTTCACTGCGGGATCACATTCATCCGGTGCTATACCAGCTGCACTGGCTCCCGGTGGAGTACAGGATCAGGTTTAAGGTGCTGGTTTTAACCTTCAAAGCCCTACACGGCCTAGGACCCTCGTATCTACGGGACCGCCTCTCCTGGTATGCCCCACAGAGGAACTTACGGTCCTCAAATAAAAACATCTTGAAGGTCCCAGGCCACAGAGAGGTTAGGCTGGCCTCAACTAGAGCCAGGGCTTTTTCGGCTGCGGCTCCAACCTGGTGGAACGCTCTGTCACAAGAGACAAGGGCCCTGCAGGACTTGACATCTTTCCGCAGGGCCTGCAAGACAGAGCTGTTCCACCAGGCCTTTGGTTAGGGCACAGCCTGACTCCCTCCTTTGGCAATCTTTACAATACTTTAGTTTATGGTTGCCATCAATTTTGATTTTAATTAATTCTTATGATGTTTTATAATGTTGCACTATTTTAGTGTTGTTAGCCGCCCTGAGCCCGGCTTCGGCTGGGGAGGGCGGGATATAAATAAAATTTATTATTATTATTATTATTATTACTTGCCCAGGATTTGTAAACACAGTAAAAAAAAATAGGTTTGCGCATGATCTGCATAGCTCTCACACTTTTTTATAACATGAAATTTCTTGCCCTCTAGGAAAAATGAAAATGTGTGAAGTAGCCCTTAGAGCTGAGGCACATCAGCCACAGCAAACTAGCAGTGGCTGCTTTCATGTTTGATGATGCATTGGCTCCAAACTCCTCCTGAAGCATGCTGCTGAACTTGCTGCCGTGTGCAATACTGAACTGTCTTGTACTCTCCCACATTTTGATGGGTTTACAATGGCAAGAAATAATCAAACCTGGACAGTCTGTAGCTCATTGGAAGAGCTTGACATACAAAGGGCCTCAGGTTCAATCTTTAGCATGTCCAGCTAGGGCAAGGAAAGACTTCTGCCCAAAAATCCCAGAAATCCACTGCTTATTAAGGGAAATTGTAAACAGTACAGAGCTAGTTCCCCAGGAAAAGGGATTGATTGTTAAATCACTCTGAAAATTGTTGCTCTGTTTCCTAACAACTCTCAGCTTCCTTAACAAGCTACAGTTCCCATAATGAATTGGCGGAAGCCATGGCTGTTTAAAGTGGTATCAAAGTGCTTTAAATATATGTGGTCAAAGTCTCCTTGTTTCCCTTGGTTTACTGCACTGAAGAAAATGGTTGCTCATGCTATATAGAAATAACCAGAAATATAGTCAATGTGGGTATGTATTGCCTAGTAATAAATATATGGCATTTTTGGTACCGTTAAAGAGGCAACAAAGGCATTAATTTTCTGCTACAAAGAACTTCCTTTTGAAGTTGCTAAGAAATTGTTTCATGTCTCATCTCCTCTTGAAAAGCCTTTGGACTTCCAAAGCTGGAACATGGCTATTTAAGAAAGAAGAATAAAAGCTAGTTTGCCCTCTGTGGTTCACATTCCTATAACCTTCTATCCATACATATTTACTGACAGGCAAATGGAGCGTCTCTTGACTCTGTATATATGATTGGAGTAAGCCTTGGGGCTCATATAGCTGGATTTGTTGGGAAGGCATACAATGGCAAAATTCGCAGAATTACAGGTAAGTGTTAAAAACTGGACATTCTGGTGTTTTATTCTCTATTCTCATTCTTGTTTCCCTATGCTGAATGATTCAGTTTGTCATAGAAAGCAAACAAAGTCAAGCTGGCTTAGTCACCCAACATAAGGTACAGTGCCTGAGGTGGGTTTAAGTGAGTTGGCCATAGTCATGCACATAGTTGAAATTTGACCACCTTCTAAAAGATACAGTTTAAACCAGGGGCAGCCAACATGGTGCCCTTCATATGTTTTGCAGTGCAATTCCCACCTGGTCCAGCCAGCATAGCCAATGGTCAGGGATGTTGTGGACATATAATCTACAACATTGGCTCTTGTGGTGTTCTGCATTATTTTCTAAACTTATAATGTATGTTTGTGTTTATAAATGTTTTGTGAAAGCTGCTTGGAGATCTTTGGCTAACAAGCAACTAAACAGTCAGATTATTATTATTATTATTATTATTATTAATGTACCAAGTTGGCAACTTCCGACTTAAACAATGAAAAGGCAGCTTCTGGTGACGCCCTTCCTCAGTTTTCAAAGTAGAACCAGTGGAGGTCAGCTGTTGTTTAAAGAAATATCAGTCAACACTGATCTTCAGCAAACACGCCATGAATGCAAAAATGTTCAGGAATATGAAACAAGAGTTTACCACTTTAATCCCAAATACTTGGGTCAGAATTTACAAAGCATTAAGTATTCTTTAGTTACCTTGAATTCAACTGTTGTGACTCTTCAGTGAAAGTGATTGCTGCAATCAGTGGGCTTACATTCTCTCTGATAATCCTGACCTGCATCCTTCTTTCCTTTCAGGAGGAGAAAGGGCAAATTGGAGAGAAAGCTCATTTGTTTAAATAGCGGGTGTGTTTTATATTACTGTTAAATTACTTTTGTGCTGATGAAGCTTAACAGTTGGGAGGAACCTTGTTGACTATATACTTGTGTGTTTTATCCTGCTGTGGTTTGCTTCCACTCAAATACTATTTACAGATTCGTATGTGTGTGTGTGTGTACAATTTTTATTATAATAAGCTAAATTTTTCATTTTTCATACCAGGTCTTGACCCAGCAGGGCCATCATTTACAGGAAAGCTGCCCAGTGAAAGATTGGATCACACTGATGCTCAATTTGTTGATGTTATTCATACTGATATTGATGGTAATTATACCATTTTGGATTTCCATTATCCTAATGGAGAATGATTCCCCACACCCCTAATCTGGTTTGCTGGGAGAAAAATAACTATTCCAAGTGTTCTGAAATAGTTAACCAAAAAACAAAAATAGTTAACCAAAAAACAAAAACAGTTTTTTATTCTTTTGAAGCAATACTACTGGCTGGTCTTGAATACACACTAGTTCAAACTCAATTCATTCAGGTAGAATTACTTGCACTGTTCATTTGTTCCTGGCCAGTGCAATTAACCAATTTCTGTAAGTATCCCCAGTGGGTTTTCGTGGAAAAAACCAACCGCTTTGAATTCACAGGAAGTCGTGCCTTTTCTTAAATAAAGGGGAAAAAATGTAATGTTTATCTTGCTAGATTATTCAGATAAAAACTCTCAAGAATGGCTGATAGTTCCAAGTGTGTCTCTGCACAGGATTACAGTCTAAAAAATTGTATGAAACACAGCATTTTAAAAGCCTGGGAAATAAAAAGGGCTTCACCTGGTGCTGAAAAGGAATCAGACTCACTGCCAAGTTTGGCTCTGTGAGGAGAGCCTTCCGTGCTTTATGTTTGGTTCCCTGAACAGTCTTAGAATTTATCAGGGCTGGCCCAATAATGGCATCTGGCAGGTCATTATGTTTGCCTGAGGAAAATGCCATCTGCTATTCCAGGGAAAACATGACCAACCTTGGCCAATTTATAACCCACCTAATCACCCCATGCAAGATACCTGTAGGATGTTATAGCCAAAGCATCATTCACATAGTTGTCACACACTTGTCACTTAGTTATGTGTCCCTGGAGCCTGGGGAGTGTCTTTGTTCCAGTTTTTCTGAGCCTGCAGGAACATCCCTCCTCACCCTCAACTTCTGTGCATCCATTAGTTACATTTCCATAATATAATCTCATTGGTTGTTATCTTTGTAAATATGAATAATAGTTTTTATTTGTCGTTTTGAACATTCTGACAAATGCATGAGAAAAGTGTTATCATTTATTGTGAAATGACATCTGTATTTTTCTTCACTATGTGTTTTATTTTTCTTAGCTTTGGGCTACAGGGAGCCTTTGGGAAACATCGATTTCTACCCAAATGGAGGAACAGATCAACCTGGATGCCCAAAAACAATATTCAGTGGTAAATACAGATAAATTAATTCTAATAGATAAAAACATCAGGAAGGGTTATGCTCTGGAATCAACTGGGTTTTCACAAATCAACTGGCAAATATATTAGCATCATTAAATAAATATTAAATAAATATTTCCTGGCAGGATGTTGGAATGGTCCTCCTGACTGATATTCTTTACATGCACCCTTTATAGTGTCATTCTCCCTTTTGAAGCGAAAAGACTGCACCAATTTTAATACATAGGTTTCACCTTGAGGTGGGACTGCTGCTTCTAATTAAGGTTTTCTCCTATGGAGGGAAAAGAAACTTTACAGTCTTTTCTATGCATTGTACTTTAATTATGTACTGTGCAATACTAGAAAATGAAATTGGTTGGATTTTGAAGCTGAGTTTAAAGCGTGTGATTTCTGTGGTGCAATGGGCCAGTGCGCCTGGCTGTTAACCAGAAAGCTGGTGGTTTGAGCCCAACCAGGGATGGCTGTGGTCAGGATTCCTTCATTGCTAGGGTTTGAACTAGATGGCCCTTGGGGTCCCTTCCAATTCTAGGGTTCTACGAATGATTTTGCTTAAATTTATTTCAAAGCTTTCATGGGTTATCCTGTTCTAAATAAATTTGTAGCATAACTGTCTCTCCAAGTTAACTATTGTTGCAAGGGTTACTGAGATAATGGATGTGAAGTGCTTTGAACACTCAGGGTTGTTGTTGTGTGTGTGGGATGCTTGGGTGAAGAGCATTCCACTCACACAATGACAGTTCCCCTTCCTTTGCTCCCATTTCAGCATACCTCCCCCCAATTTGTTACAGAGAATCTCCCCAAGCCTCTGGAGCAGATTATGAGGGTGCACAGGGGGGTGCAGAGGAGTGGAGGACGAAGTTCCATTGCACAAGCAGATGCCTTTCTCAAGCAGAAGGATCTGATGCAACCTCAGAAATGTCACATTACCATATGAACGCCATATGTTTACAACATTGTGCATTGCTAAAGTTATATTCCAGTATGCCAGTGTGGCTGAAGTAGGCTCAGTCACAATGAGTCTAGTTACAAGAGAGCAGCAGTCAGTTCTAACTGAAGAAATACCTGCATTGCACTTATACAGGGAATCAGAAGTTTCCTTAACATCTGCCAGGGCTTCAGCAAAGACATGATAAGAACGCCTGCACAAGCAATACAGATGGAATAGCTGCTTATAGCTGAAAGCATGAGAGTGGGATGTCATGTTCACAACATTATTGCATGTTCTTTTACAAGTGCAGATATCTGCTATGAAAACTGTCCATAACTGAAGGGGAGAAAGAATAGAGATGGATGGCACCAAACTAGGAATCTCCAGAGAAAGAGTCTTCTAGTGATGGCAGTCCCAAGAAGGAGCCATGGGCCCATATGAAGCCATGGGCACCATAGCTCACATCACCCCTGAACCACCAAAAGGCACCTCTGCCACCAGACTCCAATGACTGGTCCACACATACCTCAGAGGAGAGCCTTGAGGAGATGTCCTTACAGCCTGAAGCCACAGGACCTAGATGTCCTGGATCCCCAGCCTACCTGGCAGCAATTCCCTCTAGCATATGCAGTATGTCAAATCCAAAGTTCAGCTGTCAGGAAACATGGTCTGGAGGGCAATCCACATAAGCAAAGTCCATCAGTCCAGAAACACAATCCAGAGTCAAACCCAAAGCAGTCCTGTAGAAGTCCTGCAGCACCCAAAGCAAGCTCCATCAACATAGACAGCTGAGCAGACAGTCAGCTTTGCTTCCCTTTTATTCCTTGCATGTTAGTTGCAGCATCTGGGCTTGTCAGGACATGTGACCCTCACCTGTTCTGAGGCTACTCCAGCTGAGGAATCACACACCTCCTCCCAGAGCTAATGAGCCGCACCTGGGCTGTGGGCCCTGGCCTGCCTCGGCCTCCAAAGTCATACCTCCCACTTCTCCCTGTGCCCCAAAACCTGCCTTGTTTGTGAAGACAGCGGCTTCTCTGGCTCTGATGAGCTAGTTGAGTCTCTAGTTACTGGATATGCAGCCTAAGGAATCCTCCACTTTCTTCAGGACACTGCTGAGGCAACTTGTATGTTTTGCCTCAGCAGCAAGGTCACTATTTGTGGTCTTGAAATCCCAAACCTTGGTCTCTCTCCAAGGTGCTGATCCTTGCCTTTCTGTATGGAACCCTGGGACCACTGGCCTCCTCCTTGCATCAGCTATCACATATTCTCAGTGGTGGTTATCCCTATGGATCAGAATATAGACTAGGGATGAGACTTGCTATAGAAAACACAGCTTCTTGTGAGTTGGCTATTGTGTCCCATGATGGGAATCTGTGCAAGAACTGATTGTAGGAAAACATAAAATGATGCAAAAGTCAAATTTGCCACTTTAAAACATAATACTGTTTAGCACATGGGCCACCACTATTTGACATGCAGCCTTTTTTTTGTAAGATTCACATTAATTTGGCAAGCTTTTATATATGCTTAGATGACAACCTAGTCTTACACTGATAATCAATGCTTTCCCCCCTAACAAAATGTTTAGGGATACTCTCATTTTGACTCAAGAAAATCACCATTTTATAGTTCAAATTGGGGAAAATAAATACAGTAAATGGACAAAAGTACAAAGATTCACAAAATGTTTAGGGGTATGTGTACCCCTGTGTCCCCCCAGGGGAAAAATCACTGCTGATAATCTATAAAAGGAAAATATTGGTTGGACTTAAAATGTTGTTGCTTAATAATATTAGTATTGCTTTTATAAAACTAACATTGTATTGCTTCATTGTTTCTTTTGTAACACTTTCTCTACTTTAAGGCACTCAGTATTTAAAATGTGATCATCAGAGATCTGTTTTCTTGTACATGGCATCCTTGAAACAGAATTGTAATGTAACTGGATACCCTTGTGACTCGTACGTAAATTATAGGAATGGAAAATGCGTGCACTGTGAAGCTTTTAAGCCACTCCCATGTCCAGTTTTGGGTAAGAGCTATTAATTATCCTGCAAGTGGAAACAGCATGCTATGGATAATTTCTTGGTTGTGCAATAATGAAGAAACTGGCTGTGCACAGATAATTAAACATTAGCTTAATAGACCAGTTATATGCATGTATTTCATACACCTGCACAGCACCCCTTCGCTTCTGCTTCGCTTCTGGTGCAAACCAAGGAATCAAACCAGGAAGTAACTGCACTTCCTGTTACACATGAACCAGGAATTACTGTTGATGTCTTCCAAATAGGTTCTAAGTTATCTTCTGAATCTGACTTGTTTTGGGGGTGTTCTTGTCCTTATGGTTTGCACAAGACAAAAGAAAAGCAGTTAAGCCAACTAATCCAACTGAACTGAGGGCAATTGTGGCTACTCTCTGAGTATCTCTTCTTCACCACACCATCGTCTGCATGGGGCCACAAGCTTAGTAAATCAGTAAAGCAAGATGACTAATAGTGACATAAGACAGAAAGGAATGAACATATATATTATATTATAGCTGGAGTGACAAAGGAGCCAAAGTGTAATCCATTTTCCTGTGCATAAACCCACTGACTAATAGAACTCAGCATGCATTACTTGAGTCTAAGTTCTTATGAGCTGATGTTAGTTTTCATTTCCCAGAACGTTATATAACAAAAACCAATCTTCATGATTTTTATCTTTCCTTTGTTTGTTAATTTTCTGCTGAACACATTCCAATTTAAATTTCAGGTTATTATGCTGATAAGTGGAAGGACCGTTTAATTGAAAAGAACCCTCCTGTGACAAGAGCTTACTTTGATACTTCAGACAAAGACCCATTCTGCAGTAAGTGATTAACCATTCTCTCTACCCTTTCTCCAGTTTTCATTATCTAATAACATTATGAACAAACTGCTTTTTGCTGTACAGATAGCATGGCACACTCTTGATTAAACTTCGTTCTCTGTTGCTGTATTGTTTATGCTCAGAAGATCTATGTGTAGGAAGGGGAAAATGCTGAAAACAGGAAATTATCTGGGCACCTGGTAAAAGATGACAAATGAGCTGGAAATGAGATTCAGCTGGATTTGCATTGGATAATCAGAAAAAAAATATTAATTTAAGAATTGCAAAGAAAGAGAAGCAAGTTAACTAGGTGCTTGCTCCAATGCATTGCATCATGATTTGTATGTCAATGTGATTTTCAGATGCTCACATTTCTGTGGGTTTGAAAATTTGATGTGTGTCAGCCAATCCTTGCATGCTGCATGGGAATAGGGGGATTACAGTATCATCACCAGTTTTACTTGTACATATGACCAGTGCTATTTTTCTAGAAAAAGAGGTGCCAAAGCTCACCACGAACTTCTCCCTTGTTCTCTTAGAATGGCAATGGCACTCATTTACAATATGCATAGTAAGCATAAAGCACCACCACATCATGAGATGAATACTAGCATTTTAAAACCATCTAACTTAGTATTAAGTACCTTTGATAGTATTAAATTCACAGATATTAGACCTACATTCTGTAATACAATATTACAACAATACAATGCTTCAAACATTTAGTTTTGCTTTCTCAGTTAAGATGGATCTATCGTTATCTTTTTTTTCTCTTGGCAAACATGATTGGTGTCTACACAACAAAAGGATTTTAATGACACTTAATAGTCTGAATTTTTTTCACCCAGCAGAATCTGAGGGAGGGACAGTTTGGAGATGGGGAGCTAGGTACAGAACAGATGGTTTTGAATTCTGGCTGAACTGGATGCAGCCTGGGGGTTGTAGAAGTTGCTCTCTGGGAATTGAAGGCAAGATCAGTGGTTTTGATGCCTCCCACCGGACACTATTTGCTTCTACTATGCTATGTTTGCAGTGTATGTTTCCTTTACAAATACAGTGGTACCTCGGGTTACATACGCTTCAGGTTACAGACTCCGCTAACCCAGAAATAGTACCTCGGGTTAAGAACTTTGCTTCAGGATGAGAACAGAAATCGTGCTCCAGTGGCACGGCAGCAGCAGGAGGCCCCATTAAAGTGGTGCTTCAGGTTAAGAACAGTTTCCGGACCTCCAGAACGAATTAAGTACTTAACCCGAGTTATCACTGTATGCAAAGAGATCACAAGTCTCAAGAGTGCTCTCAAACTGAAATCCCTGGCCATAGCACCACTTGGGGAAGGGCAGCTGAGGTTATTTTTTGCTGAGCACAATATTTTATTGCATTAATTTACCATTCTTTCCTCCTCTCCCTTCAGTGTATCATTACTCTGTGGATATTATTACCTGGAACAGAAATAGTAGGAGAGGTTTCATAAACATCAAAATAACAGATAATGCTGGAAATACAACAGAATCCAAAATCAATAGGTGGGTCTTATTTTAGTCAATCTTTTCTTTATAGAAGTCACTTCAGCCATAAGTATACCTAAGTCCCATTGAGATAAGTGATACTTATTTCCCAGTAAATTGCATTTGGAATGAAGTGGCAGTTTGAAGATAAATATACAGAAACACTGCAAAATACAAATAGTTGTGTCTGTTTTGTCTTTTAATCAGTGTGATGCAATGGCAAAGGTGCTGGCCTAAAGAAAAATAAGCATGTCTCATCATTGTTGATGAGTTTGCAACCTGGCTTTGTTCCAATAAATATGGCAGGTTCAAAGCTAGGAAATAATACCAGGCATATAAGGAACGCCAAGAACATAACTGGTGTTTTTCTCTTATTGATTATGTGTGGATGAGAAAGCATGCGTAGTTGAGAATGAATATACAGGATGCTTGACATTTTCCCCATCTGCTGATGCCCCTCTATTTTAGATATCTTTCTTCACCACCACTCAGGCCAGGCTCACTTCCTGTTTTGAAGACTGGCTATTTTTGCTGCCTGCCTGGGATTGCAAGAACAAGCAAGGGTTATCAACCGGCAGACATGGGTGGCAGGCTGTGTTTGGTTTGCAGAGCCACAAGTTGTAAAGACCTAGAATAGGTGTTGAACTAATAATGTGTTCTGATATCTCCTTAGCGGTGCAGCTGCATTTCACCAATATAGACAAGCCCATTTGCTTGCTGGATTTGACGTGGATTTCGACAATGTATCCAAAATAGCCTTGACATTTTCTACAAGGAATGCAATAGGCCCCAAGTACAAGCTTAGGGTCCTCCAAATGAGATTAAAATCTCTTTCAGATCCCCAAAGGTAAGCATATAGTTTTTCTTGCAACCTAACAAAACCTGCATTGATTGCCTTATTTGCAAGCCTCTGTGTGGACATCTTTTTATGTATAGTCCTTAACATGACTATTAATAATGCTAACCTTATAAGCAGAGGACCATAGCAGTTTGTATGAGATCTAACTTTGATTTCAGCTGCAGAATTCTTCCTTTTATAATGCTCTTTAGCACATAGTTCTTACGAGGATCAGGAGACGACTGAAAGATGGAGAAATTATATACAAATGGGCCAGGGAACAAGTTATTGGGAGCATGTTGCACAATGGCAATAGGAGAACATGACTTTAACCTGATTGGACCTGGAGCAGAAATTTCAAAAAAGATAGCTGAGCTATCAAGGTCTTCTGCTCAATAACAGCATGGACCATGGGGTGCTGTAGAACAATGGCAGGGAACCTGCAATCATCCAGATGTTATTGGACTCCAAATCCAATGAGCCCCAGCCAGGATGGCCTATGGTCAGGGATGATGGGAGTTGTAGTCCAGCAGTACTCTGAGAGCCACAGGTTCTTAAGCCCTGCAGTAGAGGGTGGTTAGGTAGTATGAGAATTGTATTGAAATGAATAGCCCCCATGCCACCAGAGTAGTATGTGCACATGCATGCACATGCATAACAGGCAGCTGAGCTGCAACACCAAGCTAAAGACTGTGCAAGTGGTCAGTGAGAGTATTGCTGCATGCACCCCCATCTCTGAGTAGTGAGGGACTCTAGAGGTTCCAGCATTCACCTGGGGTTCCGCTTCCTTTGAATGAAGGTTAGTGGCTATCTGGTTTTATTTGCACATATATTTGAGTGGAATACAGGATGGAAGGGCTCATTCAGCACAGCAAGGAAGTCAAGTCCTTCTCTCCAGTTTCCAGCCAAACTTGCACACTAACTCTGCTATTGTTCTCTTACTTACAATATGATGTTGCTGGAATCAAGTGGGGGGTTGGGGAAAGATGCCTACTCACTCCTGAAGAACATCACCTCTTAGTTGTCTTCATAGCAACATGGCCTGCTCTTTTTGATTCTAATCAGGGTGCTTAGCTGGCCCTAGCTGGGGTCATTAGCTTACAAAGAGTCTGGTTTGACCAGTTCAGCAGGTCCCCAGTCTACTGTGACCCCCATCTCACAGATACTGCATAACAGGCTTTTTTGAGACCTACCAGCAACATCCAAATCAACCACAAATCCTTTTACAGTATGGTGGGATAAATAATACAAAAAGGGAAGATTGTACAAATTTGTTAATGCTGTCTTGGGCCAGGGTTTCGTTCTAATCCTGACAGCCAGGCTCAGGTCATGGTAGGGGGAGCTGTGACTGCTCGGAAAATATGTAATTTCCTTAGCCAATTACCTTTGCATTCTGCGCAGCATTTTGTATACTCCACTAGACTTTCTTTAGTCCTAACTATTACTTGCTTCGGGCATGAATTCATTGGCCACAATCCAGCAAAGAATTAGACATACCTAAATGCCATTCATTTCAGTGACACTTAAGTGTGCATAGCCAATGCACTGGATTGTCACCACTAAGGTTTTAGTTCTGGATATGCTTCATATGGACAGCAGGTGAACTTATTTATATACTTATTTAACTTATTTAAGCATATATTATGTGCTTTGTATTGTGTGTGTGTTTTGTTGTTGTTGCTCATATACAATTATGCAAGTCTGGCTGGAATGACAATTGAATTATTACATTGCACAAAGTTCCTTATTACACAATCATAAGCTGTAATTGCATAATTGCGTCTTGCAGTTGGGTAAAATATGTGAAATTGATGTGAACACACACATATGGCTTCTGTAGTTATTCATCATTACTGTAATTGCATAAACACTCAGAGATATGTTAAAAACAACAGTACTTAACCAAGCTCTAAATGTTAATTAAATTAGAACAAAAATAGATAAGGAATTGCACAGGCATGAAAGAATAATGCTCCAAAAATTATATTAATTTGTGATCTGCCAACAGTATCAAGTACTGTACAAAGCGGAAAGGCACTGGAGGAAGAGCTAACACAACCTCCCTCCCTCACCACAATGTACCTGGAAAAATAGCTTTGAGGAAAGGACCATCAGGTCACATGACTCCTTCTTGTGTGTGCTTTGTGGAAGAGGCGTTTCCCCAAGAACACTTCGCTATGCAAATATTGGTGGGAAATGTTTGAGCTGACTATCAACACCTCAAAAAATAGTAGTGTGGATCAGCTCTCCAATTGTACAGTGCAGGTGCAGCATTATGGAAAAAAAATGATATATAAAACGACTCCTCCCTGTACATCCTTGTCATATTGATTTGGCCCATTTGTGGTGTATTTAGGAGAACATTCCCAGGTGATCTTAAAAATCATGGTAGAACCCGGGGGGGGGGGTGGATATATGGAATTGCACTGCCATTGTGCATGCTGGCTGACCTTCCAGTGACCACTCAGAAGCTCAGTTTAAACACATGGGGGGATCATTTGAGACTTTGAACCAACAGGTATCCCTGAGAACTGACACCTTTAATTAGAAGAATAAAAGAAGGCTCAGATGAAGATTTTCAAAGCCCAGATGTCTTCTAAGTAGTTTGCAGGACTAAGAGCCTCCTAATACCACATACATTATATGTAAAAGTGCTTTAAATAGGCAAGTGAGCATGCACTATATAATCTTCTAGCAGGTCTGTGTGTGGCTTAGTATGGAAAGGGGAAGCAGAAGGGGAATAGATCGGAGCTGCATCCTATTAATAGAGGATTTGAAGGTGGCAATTTTGCAAATAGGGGGCCTGTGGTGCAAAAGGTGGACAACTGCTAAAGATAGGAAAGCAGTCTGAGGGAAGGTTGCAATTAAGAAAGAGGTTGAAATCTGTAGTGCAGTTCAAAATGGAGTACAGTGGTACCAAGTGTGAGACTGAACAAAGAGGAAGACCTGAAGATGGCAGAAAAAAACTTTTTCAGAGGTCAAACACAGTGCCTAACTGTTATGTGTCGTCCCCAAATATATGGAATAGGGAGTTTTCTTGCCTTTCTGAGGCTGGAATGAAGACATCTTCCAATTTAGTTATGGTATAGTAGTTGTATGGGTGAAGAGCAATGCATTTTTCAAAAGCATCTTCAAAACAAAATAGATTAGGTAGTCTTTCTATTGATAATATATTACCTCACTTTTCTCTCTACAGGATTCAGCTATGTAGGTATGATTTTGTTCTGCTGGAAAATATTGAAATGACCTTCAGACCTATTCCATGCCATTGATATTGAAGTGTGAAACAATAGCATCTTTCAAACCCGCCTGCGTGCATAAAGCACACACAGCACCGAGAAGTGGCATAGAGCTAAACTTGCTCCCTTCAAGAAGGTTGAACTTTCAAAGATTATGGCTCAGATTAAGGATCAGCGAACTGCTACAAGAAAATCAAATAATTTTGATGCATAAAGATGTGTATGCTACCAGCAATCAATTTCTAATTAACAAGAGGAAAATCGATACTGTGAATCATATTCTGTGTAGACTTAGACCAGTGTTTCCCAACCGGTGTTCCGCGGCACACGAGTGTGCCGTGAGACATTGCCTCGTGTGCCGCGAGATGCCTGGAGGGAGGCGGGCGAGTCGGGCGGGGATTTAGTTGCACGAGCCGCCTAACTCCTCTTTCCGATTCAAAGGACTTTTTGGCAGGGGGTGGGGGACAGGTAGAGGAAGAGGAGGGGCAATTTTATTTATGTCGCATACTTCCGTTACCTAAAGGAAGGAGCTACGGTTTCCTCTTGGTTGAACGCTTGCGGGATTATTGCTGTCCAGCATGCAAGTCTCTCTCCCCTCCCCTTTTTGCATGGCAAAGGCAGTTCCCGCCCAGTATTAAAGGAAAATATCTCACGTGCATGATTTGTTATTTTTTAGCAGGGAGGCGGGCGAGTCGGGCGGCGAGAGGCGGGGCGGCGACGGCGAGGAGAGGCCGCGCCTCCTGCTGCTGCCTGGCGCTCCTCCTCGCAGCCGGCAGCGCTGCCTGGGCGCCTCCGCGCGACTCTGCCTCGCTGGGTTTGGTCTCCCAGCAGAGACGGGTCACACGCGCCCCTCCCTCCCTCCCTCAGCCTGCGCGGAGGGAGAGCCAGAGAGAGGCATCGCTCCTGCGCTCCGAGGCGGATTGAGCGCAGCTGAGAGGAGCTGCCGAGGGAAAAAACTTTCACTTTTGTGCGTCCCTCCCGGCGTGACGCTGCGCGCTGACGTCACGGGGCGGGGCTTTAATGGTGGTGTGCCGCGAGATTTTTTTTCAGTAAACAGGTGTGCCGTTGCCCAAAAACGTTTGGGAAACACTGACTTAGACTACTGTCTTGCACACAATGCTGCTGATGTCCCATTGAAATTATAATTTCATCCCTATGTGCTTAGCAAAGCACATGAAAATATTGGGTTGTATCCAGCTAAGTTCTGCTCAGAGTGGATCCACTGAAATTAATGTACCTTTCCAGGAATTTCAGTGGGTCTTTTCTGAGTATGGCTAACATTGAATGGATTCCCCCTTTTCCCCACCATAAATTTCATGTCGGTAGAGGATGAGACTTTTAATCTCAGGGTTGTGGGTTCAAGTCTCACGTTGAGCAAAAGATTCCTGCATTGCAAGGGGGTTGGACTATATGACCCTTGTGGTCACTTCCAGCTCTACAATTCTATGATTCTGTGACTGTATGTTAGACAAATGTAACGGCTTTTAAGGACAAATGTGGTAGTGTCAAAAATCAGGAAGATAAGATCACTGAGATCATTCTTTGGGTCTGTGCATTATTGGAAAAGGCCTTGTTGGTGGAGAAGACCACATTGTAGCTCACAGCCTCACAAAAGCCAGCTAAACTGAGACTATAAAATGGATCAAGTTGCTACTTTGGGATATTAGAAATGATGAAAACTAGAAAAGAAGCAAAAGTTTAGCCCCTTTCAGGTGTTTGAAACCCATAGATGTGGAATGCATAAAGGTGCTATGTGGAATGCATGAGCTAATCCTCTCCCCTAGGTGCCAGTGCACATGCCAGCCTTAGACTCTGGCTGTTCACCCAGCTGGAGGAGATGTCCACTATTCAAGGATAGGAAACCTTTTCCAGCCTGAGGGCCACAGGCATGAGGAGGGTGCAGCACAAGGCCAGTAAAAAGTGTGGTCTGGGAAGAGGGAATATGTCCCGCAGGGAGTCCTAATGGCCAGGGGGAGAGAGGCCTGAAGTTTCCGTCCCCTAGACCAGCCTGTATGTTCCAGTTAGCCCACCATGTCTGCAGTTCCTAAACAGGCATCTAACAGGGACTCATATATTCTTCAGCATGTGAACATTGTGATTTTAATGTACATTTAATAAAGATTTGTTTATTTCAAGCGGTGTGCAAGTTGCTACTTAAAATGTGATACATTTAATGGAGCACACATGAAGTGCATTTTTTCAGGAATGTGGAATTTTGGGAGTTGTCGTTTGTTTAAGGTGTTGAAAGTTGTTAAGAGACTCAAGTATGTCCATCTGCCCCCCCCACCCTAAGCTACCATTCCCAGAGTGGTTTAATAATGAATTCCTCTTCACAGGGAACTCTGGAAATCATAGCTCTGTAAGGGGAATAGAGGCATCCCAAACAACTCTCAGCACCCTAAACAAATCACAGTTTGGGGGAAGCCATGACTGTTTAAAGTGGTAGGAAAATGCTTTAAAGATATGGCATTGATATGACCATTAAACATATGGTGTTGATGTGACCAGAGCCTCTGTAATGGTTGGTGGGTGTGATCAGGAGGAGGGCAATGATATGAGCAACAAATTTGAATGTTGGGCTGTGTCTTACATATGCTCACTTTAGTCTTGTGGCATCTTAATGCTACTTAGCTATGATAATGTGGGAAGTGTGCTTATATGTTAGCGTGTTGCTGTGGCAACAGGCTTCCTATGGGCAACCTTTTGTTGCTGTTGCAATATTGTATGCAGCCCTCATCTACAGAATATGGTGTGGGTTTTGAACGATGAAGATTTGACTTTCTTATCTCTTCAGAGGCAGGTAGAATCACAATGCATAGCCCAGGAGCAGAGCCAAATGGAAGTGTGACCAGTACTCGGAATTTGTCCCATCTTTGCTGAAATTCCAGACCACAAAGCTTAGGAGCAAAAACCTCAACCCTATCTGCAGCAAAACTGGAATTTGGCAGCAGCCCTAATTCTTAATTGATTTTTTCAAAAAATGAAGTTTAGTTCCATTTTAGCCATAATGGAAGGTGTTTGCTCATCTGAAGACAGTATATCCCAGGAGTAAATGTAGAATCTGTAGCTAGTTTGTTGCAGCAATAACAAAGAGACCTCATTAGCACTTATTTGCAGAAAAGTACTTAAACCTGTTCTGCTTCCATATGCTAAAGGGCTTGAGAAGATTGTGGCAGTGATTTATATTTAACATTTTACAAGGGAAGTGGGAAGGGACATATATGACAATATTATTGCAAGTAAATTTATTATGCCAAAATCTCCCCCCTCACCCGCAATTTTTAATAAAGAGTCAAAATATAGTCTTAGACAAATCTATGTTTTGTTACAGCGAAAAGAGAACAAAAAGTTTCACAAGACTTATGAATGAAGCTCATTCTTTGGTTGATGAGTTCTAACTGGCATTGAAAGGGAATTAAGCATAACATGAAATATATTAGGATAATTATGCTCCCACGCTCTTCATTTCAAGGAGTGGTGCATAGTAAACTGTCTGGCATGATTGTATCACGCCAGGTCATAGCTCATTTTGCTGCACACAGCACATGAACCAGAATTTATTTCCCAAAGAGTCAAAACATGTGCCAGCATTGAGTCCAGAAAGGAAGGTGAGACAGCCATGTGGGAAATTAGGATTCACACTGTCTGTGTTCATAAAAAGGCTTTAGGGGATTAAAAAACAACAACCCCACACACCCTATGCCTAACATCAACAGTTAGTATGATCAGGCACCTTAATAGGTGGATCACTATCAACTAGACTCTGGCTGCTGCTTTATTTTCACCACTCCCACTAATAGAGATCTACCTTCTGGATTCAATCCTCAGTATATATAGGGGATGTGAGCCAGGGAGCAGGTAGCTGGTGCCTTTCAGGACTGTCGCTGTCCTTTTAACCCTTTAGAAAGATTCCTGTGTAAGTTTCACAGTCATGGGAGAAGTCTTACCTGATAAGAGGTCTCCTCTCCTCTTATGTGTCAGACAGTACCATTCAAAACAGTCACAGAGCTGTTTAAAATATAACATTGGAAATTCTGCTCAAACATGACTTTCATTATGAGCATTTTCTAAGACAAAGGCAAACTCAGCCCTCCAGATGTTTTGGGACTACAATTCCCATCATCCCTAGCTAACATGATCAGTGGTCATGGATGATGTGAATTGTAATCTCAAAACATCTGGAGGGCCGAGTTTGCCTATGCCTGCTCTAAAGCAATACTTGTAAACTTTACTGGGTTCTTTAAAAAAACCACTTGATGTCTGAGTGGTTTGATCTATTCTGTCTTTGGTTACAAGAAGTTGGAGCAATGGCCTCCTCACTTATTTGAGACATGATTGCACCTTTTTAATATACTTTAAAAATAGAATTTGATATTTAAGGAGATGGATAACTGGTGGGTGATCGCTGCCTCTGTGCTATATTCATGAGCTCCCAGACACTTCTGGATTGCCACCGTTGGAAACAGAAGGAATAATGATCAAAATGAACATGAAAGGAGGGAGGGGACATAATAAAGGTCCACAAAATTATGCAGGGTGTGGCAAAATTCAATAGAAGATCTTCATCTCTCATAATACTAGTACCAGTATCTAATGAAGCTGAATGATGGAAGATTCAGCAAAAGCAAGAGGGAGTTCTACATTCACTGTTGAAGGAAAGATACCTTTGTATAGCAGTTGCTGAAAAGCACAAGTGGAGACAGTGCTGTCACCCTCACATTCTACCTGTGGGCTTCCCATTCACATCTAGTTGACCACTGTGAGAACAAGATTATATCAAGTGACATCCAACTGCATCTGTCTGCAAGGGAAATAGACTTCCACTCACACAAAAGGACTTCTTTCCCTCAGAGGCGTAGCGAGGTCAGGTGGTACCCGGTGCAGAATATTTTGTCACACACACACACACACACACACACCAACGGCTCGGGGTAGGCTTGGGAGTCGTGGGTGGGTGGCATGCCAAATGTCACCCGCCTCAGTGATGACACCAGGGGCAGTCCGCCCCCTGCCCCCTTCCTATGCCTCTCCTTTCCCTGAAACCCTGTTGACCTCCACTTCAGCAGGACTCCTCCTCTTCTTAGGAAGTATTTCTTCACACAGTGAAGGGATTCACTACCACAAGATGTGGCAATGGCCACCAGATTAAATGGCTTTGAGAGGTGACAGATCCGTGGAGGATAAGGCTATCAAAGCTACTTGTCATAATGGTCATATTATACCTCTGAATAGCAGGTGCTATTGTGTGTAGGATTTGAAGGGTGTTTAGATGGCCAGTGAGAGCAGAATGCTGGG